CCTTCTTTCACTCTTACTATCTCTGCAATCCCTCATCTGCAATCCCTCATCCATCCTCTACTTTGTCATTTGTTTACGGGTTCTCCTCATTCTTTCCTCTCAGTTTTTCTACTTCTCTGTCTCTGTCCCTCTCTCTATCTCCTAATCCCCTTGGCCCACACATTCACAGGAGGGTTTGGAGTAAGACGCCTGCATCTTGGAGGAGCGCATTTTCCAGGGGCTGGAGCTGGGCAGGCAAGAACACCGGGTGTCACAGGACAGGCCCCAAGCACCTCCCCAACGCGGGCTCAGGGGAAGCGGTGACTGCGAAGGTGAGGCCTGGGGAGCAGCAGGGCCCGGCAAGAGGAGGAGGGAGGTGGGCGCGACGGTGCCTTAGGGAGAGGGATGGCGTCTACAGGATCCCAGGACCAGGCAGAGGACGCGGCCTCCCCCGGACCGGGGCTGCGGCGCTGCGCTCCACGGTCCGACAAGGGCAAGGCTGGGAGGTGCCCACGGCGAGAATCCACCTCGCGGGTGAGGACTTTAAAAAACCCGGGGCGGGAGGAGGGGTCAGCAAAAGGTTTTACGCGGGAGGAAGACGCGAAAGGCCGGGTACAGGGAGCAGCCTCAGAGCGACTTCAACCCAAAGGGAAGCGACTCTGAACCCACACTGCGAGTCACCTGGGGTGGAGGGCGCGGTGCGGGGATCTTAAGGTCTATAGCGAGCCCAAGAACTGGCTGCGGAAACAGGGCAGGGCGATTCGCAAGTTTAATCCATACTGAGGGACACTCACGCTCGGCGGCGTCACCTCCACCCAACGCGATCTGCTTCCGGAACTGCAGAAAACTGCGCGTGCGCGGAAAAGAACCCGGGCACTCTGGGGGCGGGGCCTGGGCGAGAGGCGGGGTCTGCGGACGAAATGGTGGGGCGGAGCCGGGGCGGAGTCTGCGCTTCTCTCAGCCGCCCTCGCCAGCAGTCTCATTTTTCCCGGTTTGGAAATGCTGGAGTGTTCACCGTGTCCCGGGGAGCAGCGTTCCAATTTGAAGCAGTTTTAAGGTGAAAGAATACACTTATGTGGACCCCTTATGATAGCAACCAAAATGATTTCCTCTTACCAAGTTGAAAACGGTTTATGTTAAAATTGTTTGCCGGCGGGTTGGACCCAATTCTGCTAGGGAGTCCCCTGCAGCTCAGAAACGGGGATCTGGGATTCGGGGATCTCGGTCTGGGAACTGGGATCTTAGTGGAGGATTCACGAGGCACAGCGATTGGATCTAGGAATTCCTGCAATTAAAATGTATTTAATTTAACTGAAATGTCCTGAAATTATCTCTGAGGATGATGCAAAGTAGAATGGGAAATGCAGCGCCCTACCTGGAGGATATGCAATTTAATGCAGTAGCCCATCAGAACCTCCTTTGCATTTCAAATCCCCATTCTCCCCAGTGGAAGAGTCAAGCCTGTGCTCAATTCATGGGAAAGTTAAGGCCCCCGGTAAGTTAGATCACTAAGGGCTGCTTTATTGTTCTTTAAAATATATATTTTTATAAAGATGGGGGTCTCAGCCCAGGCTGGTCTCCAACTCTTGGCCTCAAGCAATTCTCCTGCCTGGGTCTCCAAAAGTGCTGGGATTACAGGAGTGAACCACTGTGCCCAGTCAACTGCTCATTTAAACCATGCGAATTTTTTAAAAAATAGAGATAAACTGCATTATTTTTGCTTATATTCGTTATTACGTTCCACACTTGAAATTAACCACAAACAACTTTGACATAATCTTTCTTTGCATCAAAATATGCTTAAGTCAATAATTTCTAAGTGTCATGTAATTTCAAAGTCACTTTATGGGCGTTCTGAAGGTAACTAGACACAGTACTTTTTATCTTAAAATTGTAATCTATATTGGGTCTATTTTTTGTTTTCTGTTTCTTAATGTTCTATTAGATGTGGATAACAGAGTGTGGAAAATAGTCACCACATGACAATTGGGTTTATTTTCACCTAAAGAATAATTTTCCAGTATTTCTAACGTATTATCCCGGTAGAACTAAAGACTCATAGGGACACCCTTTTTTCATGTTTATAGAAAACCTAGTTTATACCTGCTATTGTCTTATGTACATTTTCATGTCACACAATTTTATCTCCAAACAACACCCTTATTTATATACAGTCTATAGTTTTCACTTTAGTAACACAGACAACAAAATATTAAATCTTTCATCTGGGTTACAATGTATGAAAGAAAAAAAATAAAAGGGAAAATCAGATTAAAAAATAAAAAGTAATTTTACTACAATTGAACATAAACCATTAAATATATTGTTCAACACCATAAACTGAAAAGAACATTTCCATAGCCTTTGGAGAAATGCCCTTCCAGTAAAACTGCCTAATCATATTTACTATGTAATAAACTTTTCCACAATTTTTCACTGAGTTAGTATAAAAATATCTTAGGCATTATAACTAAACAGGATTTCAAAAACATTTTCAACAGTTGTGTTATTTTTAATGAGTCCTATGGGTACAGCAGAAAAATAAATGTAGACTATTACTATGAAGAAAACTAGGGCGGGGCACAGTGGCTCACGCCTGTAATCCCAGCATTTTGGGAGGCAGAGGTGGGTGGATCAATTGAAGTCAGGCGTTCAAGACCAGCCTGGCCAACATGGTGAAACCCTGTCTTTACTAAAAATACAAAAATTAGCCAGGTGTGGTGGCACATACCTGCAGTCCCAACTACTTGGGAGGCTGAGGCAGGAGAATCACTTGAACCTGGGAGGTGGAGGTTGTAGTGAGCCGAGATCACACGACTGCATTCCAGCCTGGGTGACAGAGCAAGCCTCCGTCTCAAAAAACAAAACAAAACAAACAAACAAAAAAGAAAACTGGGGTCTTCTCAAACCAAGAATTCAGGAGTTTCCACAGTAAGTAATTCAGTGTACTAGAGTCAGTCTCCATTTTGTGATGTTGTACCACTAACACTTTTACAGCTCTGCACTTCCTCTTCCTGTTCTGCCCATTTGGTCAAACTGATCATGCTTGAGTGCTTCCTCCTTTGTCACTAGATGGACGTTCAAACCACACAAAGCTTCCTCTAACCCAGCCCCACACCTTATCAAATATAACACACCAAGCAAATTGCTTATCTGGGCTCTCAAGCCATTTTTGGACCAGCTTTGGAAGTCTACCCAGCTTTCCCCAGAAACCCACATTATGTAATAAACAGTCTCATAACACTTCTCAACAAACTTTAGGTGAAATTCAATACAGTTCCAGTAGAGAGGTCACAAGTTCAAATTATCAAAATGTTATGAGGGTGAACATTCAAACTTTGTAGTTTATCTACCAGGAAAAAAAAAAAATCTGAATGTGTTATGTTCATTCTTAAAATATATATATATATATTTATTTCTCCAATTGCCACTGATCATTCCAAGGGTAAAAAAGAGATGTTGTTTTCATCCATATTCCCCATACTTTTTGTTTCCTAATGTCATATTTTTACTATACTTGTATTTTTACTTCATGTACATCAAGATAAATGCTGTAGGTGTTATTTGGCATGCAAGAAAGAGACATGCAAAAATATAATAATATAGTGCATACACATCAAGAGCAATGCAGACTTCAGGGCGTGAGAGTCTGAAATATCCTTTCTATGGGATTTTCATTATACCACATAAGTATCCCAAGGCAGAGTGTGGACAGACTAATTCAAGCGCAAAATACAGTTAGTTTCTGGGCTGGGCGTGGTGGCTCACGCCCATATTCCCAGAGCTTTGGGGGGCCAAGGCGGGTGGATCACTTGAGGTCAGGAGTTCCAGACCAGCCTGGCCAACATGGTGAAACCCTGTCTCTACTAAAAATACAAAAACTAGCCGGGTGTGGTAGTGGGCACCTATAATCCCAGCTACTTGGGAGGCTGAAGCAGGAGAATCGCCTGAACATGGGAAAGAGGTTGCAGTGAGCCGAGATCACGCTGTTGCACTCCAGCCTGGGTGACAGAATGAAACTCCATCTCAAACAAACAAAAAACCAAAATACACTTAGTTTCTGAAAATTATATGTTGTTTGATCCAACAATGGAAATCATTATTCTAGATCCTTCGATAGCTTAATGGTGCACTGTTATTATCTGTGATGAAGTATGCTACTGGGGTAGGATAAAACTACGTTGGCAAGAAATGATTCATTCATACTTATAAAATACATCAAATTTTATTAGTTAAAACATTAAATCTATGATGCATTCTTAATTAAATAGTAGCAAAATGTGATTCTAGCAGTTAATGTAAATCCTAGTAACAAACATGGGATTCTGGTTACTTTGATTAAACTTCCTATGCTCGGCCGGCCGGGCACGGTGGCTCACGCCTGCAATCCCAGCACTGTGACAGGCTGAGGCGGGCAGATCATGAGGTCAGGAGTTCGAGACCAGTCTGGCCAACACAGCAAAACCCTATCTCTACTAAAAATACAAAAATTATCCAGGCGTGGTGGTACATGCCTGTAATCCCAGCTACTTGGGAGGCTGAGGGAGGAGAATCACTAAAATCCAGGAGGCTGAGGTTGCAGTGAGCTGAGATTGCATCACTGCACTCCAGTCTGGGTGACAGAACAAGACTCTGTCTCAAAAAAAAAAAAAAAAAAAAAAAAATCAATCTTTGCTATGCAACAGCTATTGGCATTTGATGGAGAAGGTAGCCTTTTCTGCATTATTTGTACCACACATCAGTTCCTAATAAGCTATTACTCTTCTCTAATAAAAATCCGAGTGTCTTCCTGGCTCTATTTCATGGTCTGTTGGTAGAGAATTTCTTTTTCTTTTTTATTTTTTTGAGTCAGAGTTTCGCTCTTGTTGCCCGGACTGGAGTGCAGTGGCGTGATCTCGGCTCACCGCAACCTCTGCCTCCGGGATTCAAGGGAGTCTCCTGCCTCAGCCTCCTGAGTAGCTGGGATTACGGGCATGCACCACTGTGCCTAATTTTGTATTTTCAGTAGAGACGGGATTTCTCCATGTTGGTCAGGCTGGTCTCGAACTCCTAACCTCAGGTGATCTACCCACCTCGGCCTCCCAAAGTGCTGGGATTACAGGTGTGAGTCACCGTGCTGGCCAGTAGAGAATTTCTTTCCATACCCACAGTGCCCTTCTGTCAGAAGAAGGGCACCTGGCGTGCAATAAGGATGATGAGTGACATCATAGTTCATTATCCTCTGTCCTTTCCAAGTGCTCTCTAATTCAGACTATATTTAATTTTAAAAGGCAGCGTCGTTCTTCTTCAGGAGCTTGGAGAGAAATAATCCTCACCCAGTGAAGTGAGTGAGCCCTTCCATCCTTTGATTCTTTCCCAAACAACACCATGTAAGGTGTATAATCGTGTATAAAATCAGCAGATTATATATCAGAGGGTTATGAGGAAACTAGAGACTGAGTTATATTATTCCTATGAATCCTCAGCTATAGGTGTAGTCCAGGAGTAATAGTCTCGGCATGCATGTTACATTTGTGTAATTTCATCAAAGATATATCTTTTGATGCCTATTGAGCTCTGAAACCTGGATAAAGCTTCTATCATACATAGTATATTCACAGGATTTCTCTGTTATGAACTCTGATGTCTGTTAATGCTTAAACTCATCAGAAGTTTGCCACAGTCACTGCATTTGTAAGAATTGTCTCAAGAATGAATTCCCGATGTTGTGAAATAAGTAATTTGTGGCTGAAGAACTTGCCACACTCCTTTGTAAGGTTACTTTGTCTGTATGTGTGTGTGTGTGATGGAGTTTCACTCTTGTTGCCCGAGCTGGAGTGCAATGGCATGATCTCGCTCACTGTAACCTCCACCTCCCAGGTTCAAGCAATTCTCCTGCCTCATCCTCCCGAGTAGCTGGGATTACAGGCATGCACCACCATGCCCAGCTAATTTTTGTGTTTTTAGTAAAGACAGCATTTCACCATGTTGGCCAGCCTGGTCTTGAACTTGCGACCTCAGGTGATCTGCCCTCCTTGGCTTCTCAAAGTGCTGGGATTACAGGCATGAGCCACCACACCTGGCGTCCTTTGTAAGGTTTCTACCCACTATGAATTCTTCGATGTTTTGCAAGGTTTGAATTTTGAGTGAAGACTTTGCCACATTCGTTACATTTGTAAGGTTTGTCTCCAGTATGGATTGTCATATGGGTAGTTAGGGTTGAGCGAACACTAAAGGCTTTCCCACACTCATTACACCTGTAAGGTTTTTCTCCAGTGTGAATTCTTCTATGATTTGCAAGATGTGAATTTTGAGTGAAGACCTTGCCACATTCATTACATTTGTAAGGTTTTTCTCCAGTATGGATGACCTGATGGGTAGCTAGGTTTGAATGCACACTAAATGCTTTGCCACACTCATTACACTTGTAAGGTTTCTCACCCGTGTGAATTCTCTGATGAACTGCAAGGTATGAACTGTGCCTGAAGACCTTGCCGCAATCATTACATTTGTACGGTTTTTGTCCAGTATGTATTGTCTGATGGATAGTTAGGCTTGAATGAACACTAAAGGCTTTGCCACACTCATTACACTTGTAAGGTTTTTCTCCAGTATGAACTCTCCAGTGCCTTGCAAGTTGTGATGTTTGACTGAAGGCTTTACCACATTCACCACACTTGTAAGGTTTTGCTCCAGAATGAATTCCCCGATGACTTGCAAGGTGTGAATTTTGTGTGAAGACCTTACCACAGTCATTACATTTGTAAGGCTTTTCTCCAGTATGAATTGCCTGATGGGTAGTTAGGCTTGATCTCACACTAAAGGCTTTGCCGCACTCATCACACCTGTAAGGTTTCTCTCCAGTATGAATTCTTTGATGATTTGCTAAGTGTGAATACTGAGTGAAAACCTTGACGCATTCATTACATTTGAAAGGTTTTTCTCCGGTATGGATGATCTGATGCTTAGTTAAGTTTGAATGCATACTGAAGGCTTTCCCACACTTACTACACTTGTAAGGTTTCTCACCAGTATGAATTCGCCGATGCTTTGCAAGGTATGAATTGTGCCTGAAGACCTTGCCACACTCATTACATTTGTAAGGTTTTTCTCCAGTGTGGATTGTCTGATGGGTAGTTAGGCTTGAGTGAACACTAAAGGCTTTGCCACACTCATTACACTTGTAAGGTTTCTCACCAGTATGAATTCTTTGATGACTTGCAAGGTGTGAATTTTGAGTGAAGCACTTGCCACATTCCTTACATTTGTAAGGTTTTTCTCCAGTATGGATAACCTGATGTGTAGTTAGTTTTGAATGTGCTCTAAAGGCTTTACCACACTCATTACACTTGTAAGGTTTCTCTCCAGTATGAATTCTCCGATGACCTGCAAGGTTTGAAGGTTGACTGAAGACCTTTCCACATTCATGACATTTGTAAGGTTTTTCTCCAGTATGGATTACCTGATGGATAGTTAGGTTTGAACGAACAGTAAAGGCTTTGCCACACTCATTACACTGGTAAGGCTTCTCTCCAGTATGAATTCTCTTATGACTTGTTAGCCGTGAGTTTTGATTCAAGACCTTGCCACATTCATCACATTTATAATGTTTTCCCCGATTATTAAGAGACTTCTCAACTTGATTATATTCATACATTTTCCCTTCACCTTGAAATTGCTGCAGTTCAGGCAGATTTGACTGAAAACTTACTCCAAGCTGATTTTCAATAAGCTTGTTTCCTGCAGCCCTTCTATCATGTTGATCTCTTCTATCAGGGAGATTTTCTTTTTGCAACATAAGTACTCTTTTGTAATTTCCTTCATCATCTTTCCACTGACACTCAAAGTCATATGTATTTTTCTGAACTTCCTGGAAGGACAGGGCTTCATCACAGCTTTCAAGTCTCTCCAACTTCACCATGTGGAATGCTTCTCCCATACTGTTCTTCCCCTTTGGTGGCAGATCCTTGTTTACACATTTACAAGAGATATCTGTAAGAGATAAAGAACCATAGGTTTCCAATTAATTATAGTACATAAATAATTATTTCCCATTGAAAAACCTAATGTTACACCAAAAGTAATAGTTATGTTGAACAGACTTATGATTCTTCAGAACCATAATTTTTCAGAACACAAAAGGACTAGGATTCCTTATCAAAGAAAAGGTGGTAACATGTAATTCAAATAGTAGGGGATCCTAGTTTTAAACAATCTGTGAACAAAACCCTCATATTGTATAAACCCATATTGGCCCTGAAAGGAGTACTTTCCAACCATAACGCAAGGCTACCAATTGGCAATATGTTTTATATAGCTGTCTTAGAATTCAAGAGAAAGAATTCTTATATTGTGCCTATTTAAAGCATATTTGTTATGCACAAGTAAATGCTAAAGCACAACGTGATATACTGTAATGGTAAATAACTCACAGCAAACATACGTAATGAATAATTAAAGAAGTAGTAATTTTGAATTGGAAAAAAATAATAGCACTGAAAAAATGAGGAGGAATTCAAATTTAAAATGTCAGAAAAAACTTTTTGAATTGGAAAAAAAAAAAAAGAAAGAAAGAAAAGAGGAGTTCTACTTCAGAACCAGCACAGGACATAAGAACTGGAATATAGTCTCGCTGTGTCACCCAGGCTGGAGTGCAGTGGCGAGATTTCGGCTCACTGCAACCTCCGCCTCCCGGGTTCAAACAATTCTCTGCCTCAGCCTCCTGAGTAGCTGGGATTACAGGTGCCTGCCACCACGCCCAGCTGATTTTTGTATTTTTAGTAGAGACAGCGTTTCACCATCTTGGCCAGGCTGGTCTTCAGCTCCTGACCTCGTGATCCACCCGCCTTGGCCTCCCAAAGTGCTGAGATTACAGGCATGAGCCACTGCGCCCAGCCTGTTTATATTATTCTTGACTGCAAATGGTGTCACATGCAGTAAGTGTGTGTATAAGTTTTGATAAGTTTTACTTTTTTATCATAGATTTGTTTTTTTTTTGAAATGGAGTCTCGTTCTGACGCCCAGGCTAGAGTGCAGTGGTGCGATCTTGGCTTACTGCAACTTCTGCTTCCCAGGTTCAAGTGATTCTCCGGCCTCAGCCTCCCAACTAGCTGGGATTACAGGCATGTGCCACCACGCCCAGCTACTTTTTGTATGTTTAGTAGAGACAGGGTTTCATCATGTTGGCCAGCTGGTCTTGAAATCCTGACCTCAGGTGATCCACCCACCTTGGCCTCCCAAAGTGCTGGGATTACAGGCGTGAGCCACCGCATCCAGCCAGATTTGTGTGTTTTTGTTTTGTTTGGTTTTGTTTTTGGTTTTTTTTGGCAACAAAAGAACAGCACAGATTTATTGAAATGAAAGTACACTCCACAGAGTGGGAGCGGGCTCTAGCAAGCAGCTTAAGAGCCAGATTTGTGTATTTTTTTTCTGGTGATAAATAATAGAGTAGTACTTTATGCATTCATGACGTACCTAATTTTTTCTTAATTTTTATGATATTTTAGTTTATGCAATTTGTCTGCTTTATCAAATTGTTGCAAATGTCTTTAAAAATTTCCAATATATTTACTGGAATAAAACCCATGTATAAGATGACCCATGGAATTCAAACCTGTGCTGTTCAAGGGCCAACTGTATACCCAGAAGTGGGATTGCTGGATAATATAGTACTTTTATTTTTATTTTTTTTGAGAAATTTCCATAGAAGATTCATAATGCCTAGACTAATTTACATTCAATCAATAGTATATGAGAACCCCCTAATCTCCATATCTTTGCTAACACATATCTTTTGTCCTTCTGACAGTAGCCATTCTGACAGCTATATGATATTTTATTCTGCTTTAAATGTGCATCTCTGCAAGTAGTGATGTCGTTGGCTATTTGTCTTCCTTCAAGAACTGTATATTGAGGCTCACGTCTAATCTCAGCACTTTGTGAGGCCAAGTTGGGCAGATCACCTGAGACCAGGGATTTGAGACCAGCCTGGCCAACATGGTGACCAAAAATGCAAAAATTAGCCAGGCATGGTGGCACGCACCTGTAGTCCCAGCTACTTGGGAGGCTGAGGCAGGAGAATCGCTTGAACCTGGGAAGCAGAGATTGCAGTGAGCCGAGATTGTGCCACTGCACTCCAGCCTGGGTGACAGAGCGAGACTCTGTCTCAAAAAAATAAAAAATAAAAAGGAAAAAAAAATGTATATTGAGATCCTTTGGCCATTTTTTAATTGGTTTGTTTTCATGCTATTGAGTAGTTTTGATTTCTCATACATTTTGGACATTAAATTGGTGTCAAATATACAAATTGCAAATGCTTTCTCACAATCCGTAGGTTGTCTCTTCATTATGTTAATTGTTCCCTTTGTGGTGATTTTCAGTAGATGCTACCCCATTTATCTGTTTGCTTTTGTTGCATAAGCTTCTGGCCTCAAGGCCAAAAAATCATTGCCTGGATCACGTCATGTAGGTTTTCCCCTACGATTGCTTCTAGTAGTTTTACATTATCAGGTCTTACGTTTAAGTATTTAATACATTTTGAATCAATTTTGGTATCTGATGTGAGATTAACATCCATTTCATTCTCCTGTGTGTGGATATTGAGTTTTTCTAGCAACACTTATTGAAAAAACTGTCCTTTTTTCATTGTGTGTTCTTGGCACCTCTGTCAAAAGCCAATTGGCCATCTATTCATCATTTGTTTTTTGTTTTTTTTTTGAGATGGAGTCTCGCTCTGTCGCCCAGGCTGGAGTGCAGTGGCCGGATCTCAGCTCACTGCAAGCTCCGCCTCCCGGGTTCGTGCCATTCTCCTGCCTCAGCCTCCCGAGTATCTGGGACTACAGGCGCCTGCCACATTACCCGGCTAGTTTTTTGTATTTTTTAGTAGAGACAGGGTTTCACCGTGTTAGCCAGGATGGCCTCGATCTCCTGACCTCGTGATCCACCCGTCTCGGCCTCCCAAAGTGCTAGGATTACAGGCTTGAGCCACTGCGCCTGGCCTCATCATTTGTTTTTTTTCTTCACTTTTTTTTTTTGATATGGAATCTCACTCTGTTGCCCAGGCTGGAGTGCAGTGGCGCAATCTCAGCTAACTGCAGTCTCTGCCTCCTGGGTTCAAGTGATTCTTCTGCCTCAGCCTCCCGAGTAGCTGACCACCACACCTGGCTAATTTTTGTATTTTTAGTAGAGACAGGGTTTCACCATATTGGACAGGCTGGTCACGAACTCCTGACCTCGTGATCCACCCACCTCAGCCTCCCAAAGTGCTGGAATTACGGGGGTGAGCCACCGCATCCGGCTTTCTTTTTACTCTTTCTATTCTGTTCCACTGGTTGATGTGTCTATTTTTAAGGAAGTACTATCCTGTTTTAATTACTATATCTTTGTAATATAGTTTGAAATAAGGTAGTGTGATGCCTCCGGGTTTGTTCTTTTTGCTCAGTGAATCCCATGCTCAAGTGTAAAAAAATAGGATACACACCCCATATAGGACTGGGATCAAAAAGAGAAAGTTTCTGTCCATTGTACTTAACAATTTGGCTAATCATCTCGGAAGATCAACCCACTCCCCTTGTCAGCCACATCCACAAACTGTCGCAAAGTGGAATAGGAGAAGTAGCTGAGACCTCAACAGGCGAAGAAAGCTTAAGACAGCTCCGTGAAGTTTCTGGGGCCCCAGGTGCAAAGGAGGAGCAGCCAACGTTTTCTATCTTCCAAGCTCATGAAATGGGATAAAATATGAATGGGGCACTTGTCATAACTATGGAGGCCTCACGTCTGATCTCTGTGGACAGAAAAATAAGGATTTTTGATTGAATGAAGCACAGTAGGAGAGACTAAGGAGGAAAGCAACCCTTTTGAAAGGAACCAAGAGTTCATAGAAACCAAGTAACAGACGGTTGTAGGTCATGATCAAGACTTTGCATGTGTTGCTGTTTGGGCTGTAGCACCACTGCAGGTTGGAAGGAGAAACTTTTACACATCTAAAGAACAGAGTATTAAGTGGTAGGGAAAAAAATTCTTATCAGTGATCACAGGATATAAACTTTTATTTTCCCAAAAAATTCTCCCATTTGCAGGGTGTTTCTCAAACACTGTCTAATGAGACACTTTCTCTCTGCCCATCTGAACTCTGACCTGTAATTACACCTCTGATCCACTCCCACTTGCTATTTTCTCTTGGCTGTCTACATTCCAGGGCTCCTTCCCTTGTTCCAACAAGGAGATAATACTCAGATCAAAAGGAGAGATTCCTGCTTACGAAAAGAAAGAAGGCCAGGCATGGTAGCTCACACCTGTAATCCCAGCACTCTGTGAGGCTGAGATGTGCAGATCACCTGAGGTCAGGAGTTCAAGACCAGCCTGGCCAACATGGTGAAACCTTGTCTGTACTAAAAATACAAAAATTAGCTGGGCGTGGTGGCTAAAGCCTATAATCCCAGCTACTCAGGAGGCTGAGGCAGGAGAATCACTTGAACTCAGGAGGCGGAGGTTGCAGTTGCAGTGATCCGAGATCGTGCTATTGCACTCCAGCCTGGGTGAGAAGAGTGAAACTCCATTTCAAAAAAAAAAAAAAAAAAAAGAGAGAGAGAGAAAAAAAAGAAAAAGAAATATAATGTGCTGTGGCTTTTCCAGAACTGCACCCTTAGGTTAACACGAGAAGAGAGGAAACTGCAGATAGAGTTGGAAAAACATTTCAACAGTTGATCCACTGAATGCCTCCTGAGTGGTTAGGAAACACCACACGACACAGATATCTAGCTTTCGTCCATGAACCACTTAATCAAAAGCACAGAAGTAGAAAACAGAAAATCAAACATTTTAAAAGTCTGGTATGAGGTATTATGCATACAAAGCTCTAAAACTCTCCACAAAGTGGGCAGACCATCTCAAGAAACAGCAAGATTAAAGTCCAGATTTTGCATGATCAGGCTTTTCACTTCTGAATCAACAGGTCATCAATCCTCATCGAGGAATGCAGGGGCTCTCAAGAGACTCACAAGGGAAAATGAAAACATACACAAGAACAGACCTTGACTTCTAAAAGAAAGTCATCCTTACCCAGTGAGACCAGGTTCCTGTAGTTCTCCAACATGACGTCCCTGTACAAAATCTTCTGAGCAGGGTCCAGGCATGTCCACTCCTCCTGAGAGAATTCTATGGCCACATCCTTGAATGTCAGCTGTGCCTAAAATGAAAAACACATTTCACCAAGTGACTGTGAGGCAAATTTGAATCTTCACATAAAACGAGGAGAGAGCTGTAAGAATAGGTTCAATTCAAGTAAGCAGACTGACACATCCAGGCTGTGATCATGGTACATATAGATTTGATCTTCATCCCTTTTCCTGAAAAGAGCTCACTTGAAATCTGTGAGGTGATAAGTATCTTTTTGTACGTCAGTGAGACTAACTGGTGGCTGAAGGCCGCTAGATAGCTTCACGATGTGGGCTGGACACTGGAAAGACCAAGACAAGATTACAGGGTTAGGCCAGGTGCCATGGCTCACGTCTGTAATCCCAGCACTTTGGGAGGCCGAAGCCAGTAGATTACTTGAGGTCAGGAGTTCTAGACAGGCCTGGCCAACACGGTGAAACCCTGTCTCTACTAAAAATACAAAAATTAGCCAGGCATGGTGGCGCACACCTGTGATCCCAGCCACTCAGGAGGCTGAGGCAGGAGAATCACTTCAACCTGGGAGGCAGATGTTGCAGTGAGCTGAGATCACGCCACTACACTCCAGCCTGGATGACAGAATGAGACTCTGTCTCAAAATAAGTAAATAAAAATAAAAATAAATAAATAAATAAAAGATTACAGGGTTGGGACTTCCAGGCTCAATCTCCAACACTGCAAAAGGGAAGAAGGGCTGAAGTTTCAGTTGAACATCTATGGCCAATAATGTAAACAGTCATGCCTATGTAATGAAGCTTCCATAAAAATGCAAAAAATTAAGGTTCTGAGGAGCAATTGGGGCAGCTGATAACATGGAGGCTCCTTGAGTGGTGCACCCACAGAGGGCATGGAAGCTCAGAGCTCCTCCCTATGTCACCCAATAGATCGCTTCCATCTGCATTCTTTGTTATATCCTGAGCAATAAATGAATCAATATGAATCAAGTGTTTCCCTGAGTTCTGTGAGCCACTGTAACAAATTAATTGATCCCAATGAAGAGGTCATGAGAATTTACACCTTAAGCCGGTTAGCGAGAAACCCAAGCCACAACCTGTGTTTGCGAATGGCACTGAGGTGGCTGCACCCTTGTGGGACTGAGCCCTATACCTGTGGGATGTGATGCTATATCCAGACAGCGTCAGAATTGAACTGAATGGGAGGACACCCAGGTCATATCCACTGCAGAATTGCTTGATTGATGTGATGGAAAACCCAACACTTCTGGGAGAACGGAAGCACTCTGTGTCGCAAGTAGTAGAAGAAACTGTATCCGGCTGGGCGCGGTGACTCACGCCTGTAATCCCAGCACTTTGAGAGGCCGAGGCGGGTGGATCACCTGAGGTCAGGAGTTCGAGACCAGCCTGGACGACGTGGCGAAACCTCGTGTCTACTAAAAATACAAAAATAGCCAGGCATGGTGGTGGGCACCAGTAATCCCAGTTACTCGGGAGGTGAAGCAGGAGGATCATTTGAACCTGGGAGGTGGAGGTTGTGGTGAGCCAAGATCACGCCATTGCACCCCAGCCTGGGAGCGAGACTCTCAAAAAAAAAAAAAAAAAAAACTGAATCAGTTTTTCCCTATATTCTCACACACTAAGGTTTACTTGAGCAAGTTATGTCTGCTTAATCCTGTTTTATTATTCTTTTCCCTAAGAGGTTATGATATCCTCTAAATTAGTGTAAATTTCTGTTTTGTGGACAATAAATAAATATACAGATACAAAATTGGCTGGGCGCAGTGGCTCACTCATGCCTGTAATCCTAGCACTTTGGGAGGCCAAGGTGGGGGAATCACTTGAGGTCAGGAGTTCGAGACCAACCTGGCCAACATGGTGAAACCCTGTCTCTATGAAAAATACAAAAATTAGCCGGAAATTGCTTGAACCTGGGAGGCAGAGGTGGCAGTGAGCCAAGATGGTGCCACTGCACTCCAGCCCGGGCAACAGGGGGACAAGCAAAACAAAAGAAAAAAGCCCAGCACAAGTTCATCTCTACCAGCTTTAGACAGATATTACGTCTGATACATCAAGTAATATTCAGCATCTAGATGACCTAGAGAATGAGTGGTGTCTTCAAGGATGACAACATCCACAGTGGCTTTGAAGAAAAAACAAGTCAGAGTCTTAAAACTATGATGAGAGCAATAGCAATGATAGGGATTTAAGAAGAAGGTCCATATGTGAGGTAGCATTTTAAATCCTTTATGTGTACGAACACGTACAACACTGTAGCCCATGAGAGAAAGATCTGCTCCCATTTTCCTGCGGGGACAGCTGTTTCACAGACACGCCGAGAAACTTGTCTCAGGTCAAGGAGCTAAAAATGACAGAGCAAGTACCTGTACCCAGGTATCTAGGAATTAAAATTAAACCTAAGCAATCAGTTAAGCAACAGACAAGCTACCTGAAAGAGCAGCTCACAAAGCCCTGAGTAATCTTCCAAAGAGAGTAAGTAGGCGGTTTGGAATGCTAAAGCATTAAGGAAGGCTACATAGTCAAGCGCCTTCAGAGTTTTCATTTTAGAATCTCAGTGTCTTGAGATCAGCACAAAGGAGTCAATGTATCTGTCCAAGGTTCTGAAAGGGAGGTCATTTTGGAAGAATTCATTTATGTAACAACGTGTACCAATGTCTAAGAGATTCCCAACATCCTTTTGTGCAACATGTATCAGCAGCTGCCCACGGCTCTTTGGTTTACCATTCTACTGTGAATGACTGACATGTAGATTGGTCTGAATAGTTTCTTGGTCATTAAACTGGTTAGGAAAGAATTTTCCCAGTCTTCAAGATGCTACACTGTGGCTGAAATCCTCTCAACTACTGTGAAAATGAGGTTTAAAAAATAAAGAAGTTGGCCGGGCATGGTGGTTCATCCTGTAGTCCCAGCACTTTGGGAGGCCAAGGCAGGCAGACTGTTTGAACCCAGGAGTTTGAGACCAGCCTGGGCAACATAGCAAGACCTTATTTCTACAAAAAAGTAAAAATAATAATAAAAGGAAAAATAAACAAATACAAATAAATAAAGAAGTACAAGAAATGAGAGAACGTTGGAGAATGAAGGGTAAAATGATGTTGAGCAAAACTGGCCACAGAATGTGTTAATATATTCCAGTTCACATAGTGTTTTATGAAGAAAGAGACTTTAAAATCTCAGGGGTAAGCAAATTTAAACTGAAAACAGAATAAAAAGTCCTAGAAAGATATAGTAAAACGTAGTGTCTGTCTCTTTGCATAAAGTAGTATAATATAGTTTGCATAAAGTAGTATAATATAGTAGTTTGCATAAAGTAGTATAATATAGTTTGCATAAAGTAGTATAATATACTTTGCACACATTTGTAAGACAACCAGCTGGCAAGGGAATTATCTCAAAGAACTACACAGGAGCCAAATGAGATTATCAAGGACAACAAACCACTTCTTTTATTACAATGTCACACTTATAGAAGAAAGCACATGTAAAAGCCTAATTTCAGCACTAAATTCGGGACTTTGTCACTGGAAATTTGGGTAGAATCAAAAGAGAAAATAAAGATAAAAGTGGCTATGAGTTTTGTAGAAATATGTAAATTTCTTTTTTTGTTTGTTGTTTCGGAGACGGAGTTTTGCTTTGTCACCCAGGCCGGAGTGCAGTGGGTTCAGGGAGCTTCCAGATGGCTGACACGTGGAGGTTCCTGGAGGACGGCATACCCAGGGAGGGCAGGGAAGCTCTGCACCCCTTTCCCCATACCTCACCTTATGCATCTCTCCACTGGTATCTTCTGTAATAGTATTTATAATCAGCCTGTAAAACTGAGTGTTTCTCTGACCTCTAAGCGTTGCTCTAGCAAATTAAAGAAGGGTTCATGGGAACCTCCACTTGAGGTTGGTCGGTCAGAAGTTTCAGAGGCCTGGATGTGCAATTGGGAACTGAGCCATCAATCTGTGAGATCTGACACTATCTTCAGGCAGACAGTGTTGGAAATGAACTGGAGGACGGCCAGTTGGTTGCTCGCTGTTTGTTGGTGGGGAGAAATTCCTCGCACGTGGCCACAGAAGTCTTCTGTGTGGATTGTGGTGTTGGTGTGAGAGCAGAGGGAAACATGGTGTTTGAGTTGTTTTAACTAAACAGCACCAAAAGTAAATTGACACAGGGTCACCTAACTGAGAAAAACTGAAACAAGTTCAAGGGTCACAATATGGAACTTCACCAAAGGTCATTATATACACAAACGCATTTATGCCCATATGTTACTATCCTATTAGTTCATTAATAGATAGTGGAGAACAGGCTGGGCGCAATGGCTCACACTTGTAATCCCAGCACTTTGGGAGGCCGAGTCAGATGGATCACCCGAGGTCAGGAGTTCGAGACCAGCCTGGCCAACATGGAAAACCCCATCTCTACTAAAAATACAAAAATTAGCCAAGTGTGGTGGCAGACACCTGTAATCCCAGGTACTTGGGAGGCTGAGGCAGGAGAATTGCTTGAACCTAGGAGGGGGAAATTGCAGTGAGCCAAGATTATGTTCCTTCACTCCAGCCTGAGTGAAAGAGTGAAACTCCATCTCAAAAAAAAAAAAAAAGGCAGCGGAGAACAAACTTAAGGCCATAAAAATATTTTAAAATATGATTTCAAATGATAAAACACATACAATTTATTTAAATCATGGTATGTCTTTTATAAAACCATGGGCGTATGCATCTACGTAGTCATGTGCGCACATCACACATACCAGTTAAGTGAAATAAAGAGATGTGTCTCAATGATGTATTTGTTTTTGATGATATCTTTAGTTGTCTTTTTTGCTCATGTGCATTTCAGAAAGTCTGGGACAATTAAAATGCATGAATTGTACTTAATTTAGTTTATAAACATTTTTGTAAGTTAAGCTGTAAAAATGCTAAAACAAAAATATGTAAGAACTTGTACTCCAATTGGTATTAAATACAATTATTAAAAATACAGATACCATTTTTTCCAGTTAAATTTAGATATTTAGGCATTAACAAAAGCCCAATGGAGGTTTTAGTTTATTTTACTCATGAAATCATAACATAAGGTTAGGACATTTTTTAATATCATACATTAATTTAATAGACTTAAGAAGTATATATTGCAACAATACTTACTCGAATAAATTATTGAATAATTAAAAATCAGTCCAAAAAGGAAATTTGAAAAACACCCAAAGGCTAATATTAAACAAGAAAATTTCACCAAACATCATAATCAAGCAGTAAATGCTGGATGCATTTGCTCTAAATTAAAATGGAGAAAATGGGCTGAGCGCGATGGCTCATGCCTATAATCCTAACACTTTGGGAGGCCAAGGCGGGTGGATTGCTTGAGCTCAGGAATTCAAGACGATCCTGGGCAAAATAGCGAGACCCCCATCTTTACAAAAAATATAAAAATTAGCTGGGTGTGGTGGCATGCACGTGTAGTCCCAGCTACTTGAGAGGCTGAGGTGGGAGGTTGGCTTGAGCCCAGGTGGTGGAGGCTGCCGTGAGCCGAGATTGCACCACTGCACTCCAGACTGGGCGACAGGGCCGGACCTTGTATCAAAAAAAAAAAAAGAGAGAAAATGGGGCTCACTAAGGCTCCAGCTAAAGCCCACTTCAGAGCATGCCTGAGCTGAGACCAAGAAAATGGTAAAGTAGGAGCTAGATCTGTTAAAACTAACAGATGACATACTCACAACCTAGGAAAAGAACGCATTGAAGTATAAGAACTAATAACAACACTGTGAAAACAATCTTCATTCTTTCTTTAGCAGCTCTCATTAAACATACAACGCATCTCACGAGTACATTAGGAATGATACAATGCTACCTATTAAAATACATTTCCACACCTATTTAAAGAAATTATAAAACTGTACTACAGTGATGATGTCAATAAAATAGAGGAATAGGAACTCCCAAACACTACCTCCACCATGGAGACACAAATTTAGTAACAATATATGAACCAATTGCCTTTGTGAGAAATCCAGTAACCATTTAAGAGGTTGGAACTCTTAACAGAAGTCTAGTAGGAAAATACAGGACATCTGCTCACAGCGGCCTTACCCTGGCATGATGCAGTGTCACTGCAAGAAAAACACCAATTTCCCATTTCTCCTGGGAGAGGAAAAGTATGAAAACATTCATCCATATTCTGTCTTTTCAGGGCGCTGCCTGAGGGATAAGTTTCTCTCTTGGTTGAATATAAGTAATAAAGGCTGGGAGCGGTGGTTCACGCCTGTAATCCCAGCATTTTGGGAGGCCGAGGCGGGTACATCGCTTGAGCTCACGAGTTGGAGACCGGCCTGGGCAACATGGTGAAACCCCATCTCTATTAAAAATACAAAAAAATAGCCAGGCATGGTGATGCACGCCTGTAGTCTCAGCTACTTGGGGGGCCATGGCAAGAGAATCACTTGAACCCAGGAGGCAGAGGTTGCAGTGAGCTGAGATTGCGTCACTGCACTCCAGCCTAGGCAACAGAGCAAGACTCTGTCTAAACAAACAAACAAAAAAGGAGTTTGGAGTCAGAAACACAGTGACTCACTTGTTCGGCATCAAATGTAATATAAATGAGGCTACAAAGCTTTCCCCACAGTGGTCTCATTTTACAGCATTTCGTGAGTGCTTGTACACAGTAACATCTGACTTCATAACCAGCTTCTCTTATCAGAATTTACACAGAGCTGGCAATATATTCAAATATGGCCTGAACAATCTGTGTTGCCCAACAGCACTGACACCACGGGGCCCTCACCCCATCTCCATCCATGTCTGGTGTGGGCCCTTCCCAGGACCATGCCCAGTGCCGCCTATTCCCAAGTTCATGTCACTGGGTCACGAGAGATGGAATCTAAGCGCGATGAGAGGGACTGAGGGAAGGCATGGGTGAGTGTGAGCAAACCTGTCAGGCAGGACGCTTCAGACTCAGAGAAGATTCCCCACTCCAAGGCCCAGCGTTTCTGAAAGGAAGGAGACAGAACAATCCACCGAGAATATCATCTCACCTGAGGAAGAGCCATCCCTGACTCCTCTGCTTTCCTCTTCCTCTTCTTCCAGGATTCTACCTTGGGTAACATGAAAGAGACTTTAGAATTCAATCCTGAATGTCAAAACTATGCTGTTTATTGGTTAGAATCAACACACCCCCTCCCTGTGCCATAACCTCATACACAGGGAAGACCTTACCCTGTGGAAAGATGATCCTCTGCCGCCCACTGCACCAGAAAAGATGCAGGGCTAAGAAACTCCTACAGGAAAAACAAGTGAGTTTCTGACCTCTTTCTTGAGAACCCGCTCCCCTCCTGGAGAGGCCCACACACAGGCTGCAGCAGTGGGGAGCTGGGCTGGAATGAGCTTCCTCCGTTCAGGACACAGACCCAGCCCTGACCAAACCCCATGCAAAGCACAGCCCTACTCCCCTCTGTGGATCACAGGCTGATCTCAGCCTTCAGAAACCATCAGCAGTGCCCTGGTGCTCAGTGGTAGATACAGAATAACAGAATAGAACCCATCTTAAATGTCATTGAAGCTGGGCTGCAACTTACTTGAATGAAAATCTCTGCTAAGGGGGCATAAGAGATGTATTTGCAAAATGCCTCAGCGTTCTTGAGCTCCACTGAGAGGGGCCAAGCCCAGCACAGCCCCCCACCTTCTGGCTCTACTCTCCTGGGGGCCTTGTTGTCACCAGGATCCAGACAGTGGAAGGTGAAGCAGCACAGAGAAACATGCAGAGCAGCCAATGTGGGCCAGAGGTGAGGGTGGGGGTGGGGATGGAATGCTGAAGCGGGGGTCAGGGAGAGGGTCACAGAAGTCCCCATTGAGGAAGTGATATCAGAACAAAGACCTGGGTTAGGAAGGGTGTTTGCACCTGCAGCTGAGGGGCCAGAGTCCTAGGCACAGGGACCACCCATGTGAAGGCCCTGAGGCAGGAGCAACTTGGGGACCCCAGAAAAGGAAAGGGGCCTGAGTGGCTGGAGCAGAGGGAGCGAGGAAGACGCAGGCAGGAGATGAGGTCAGAGAGGTCCTAGGGGAGCAGGTCAGGCAGGGCTGAGGTCTTCAAACAATTTTTTTCCCACCTCCAAAGAATGTTTAGGCTGGGTGCAGTGGCTCTTGCCTGTAATCTCAGCATTTTGGGAGGCACAGGTGGGTGGACTGCTTGATGCTTGAGCTCAGGAGTTTGAGACCAGCCTGGGCAACATGGCAAAACCCCATCTCTAAAAAAGGTACAAAATTTAATCATGTGCGTTGGTACAGGCGTGTGTGTGTGTGTGTGTGTGTGTGTGTGTGTATGTGAATAGACAAGACCACTAATCTGGATATGCTCATCAAAATAATTCCCTTGAAGTAAAAGTTGATGCAGTGGAGGAGGGAGTGCCACCGTCCTAAGACTGTGGTGCACAACTGAAGAACCAGCAACAGCCCGGAGCAGGGACAGTCCATTCCCAGTACCTACTGAGTTGAGATCGCAGGCCTTAAGACAGGTGGGTGGGCCTGCTGGAGAGCTCTTCCCTTTACTGTTTGAGACAGGAAAATATCAAACTGTTCATACTATTGTTACACTCAACCCAGAATACTTCACCTACAGTCACCAAAATGTGTGTAGTTTTTCCCACAATGACCAGTTCTGCAGTGGACTCCCAGTGGCGGAGAGAGGGGCGTCCTACAATTTCACCCGACTCTGACACTGTGAGATCTCCCAGGTGAAGATCTCAGTGTGCTATATGCTAGTAGTAACTCTTGGCTACACTCTCACCAGATAAATACTGTGATTCTCTTAATCCCTTCCTTGGATTCAATTAACTTACTAAAACCATTCATCTGTATGATTTGTAGTATCCTTTATAACAGTTGGGTAGGCTGGGTGCGGTAGCTCATGCCTGTAATCCCAGCACTCTGGGAGGCCAAGGTGGGTGGGTTACCTGAGATCAGGAGTTCAAGACTAGCCTAGCCAACATGGTGAACCCCCTTCTCTACTAAAAATACAAAAATTACCCGGGCGTGGTGGCGGATGCCTGCAATCCCAGCTACCTGGGAGGCTTAGGCAGAATTGCTGAGCCCAGGAAGCGGAGGTTACAGTGAACCAAGATCGTGCCATTGCACTCCAGCCTGGGTGACAGAGCAAGACTCCATCTCAAAAACAAACAAACAAACAAATAAACAAAAAACAATGGGGTGGCTGGGCGCGGTGGCTCAAGCTTGTAATCCCAGCACTTTGGGAGGCCGAGACGGGCGGATCACGAGGTCAGGAGATCGAGACCATCCTGGCGAACACGGTGAAACCCCGTCTCTACTAAAAAATACAAAAAAACTAGCCGGGCGAGGTGGCGGGCGCCTGTAGTCCCAGCTACTCGAGAGGCTGAGTCAGGAGAATGTCGTGAACCCGAGAGGCGGAGCTTGCAGTGAGCTGAGATCCAGCCACTGCACTCCAGCCTGGGCGACAGAGCGATACTCCGTCTCAAAAAAAAAACAACAACAACAATGGGGTAAACCAAGGAAAATGTTTCCCTGAGTTCTACAAGCTGCTCTGGCAAATTAATAGCACCTCAGGAAGGGATAAGGAGAATCCCCAATTTATACTCAATGGGTCCGAAGCTCAGAATCTGGGACTTGGGGCTGGTATCTGAAGTGGGAACCCTCAACTAGTGGAATCTAATGCTAACTCTGGGTAGACAGTGTCTGAATTGAATTAAATTATAGGACAGTCAGGTAGTGTCTGTTGAAGAATTGCGTGTTGGTGGGGAGAAATCCCCACCCCACACATTTTGGTGATGAGAGGCGATGCATTCTTTGTTTAGTGTTCATTAGCTGATTATGAGGGTAGGAAAAACACTTTAGTTTTTCCTCCTCATTCATACACTTGCCTACATATTACCCCATCCTAGGAAAAGGAAAGAGAGTGACCGACAACTGAATGAGTCAAGTCACTGCCCTCTGGTAGAATAGAGATTGCAAATAGAAGCTAACCTCTGATGCCAGGAATTATAAAATGCACATGTCTTACAGACAGGACTTTTGCAATTCTCACCAGCATCTCCACAACAGAAACAAAATATATACATATAAAATTTGTTAGATTATTAGGGGCTGGGCACAGTAGCTCACGCCTGTAATCCCAGCACTTTGGGAGGCTGAAGTGGGTGGATCACCTGAGGTCAGGAGTTCGAGACCAGCCTGGTCAACATAGTGAAACCCCATCTCTACTAAAAATACAAAAGTTAGCCAGGTGATGTGGTGCATGCCTGTAATCCCAGCTACTCGGGAGGCTGAGGCACGAGAATCGCTTGAACACAGGAGGCGGAGTTACAGTGAGCTGAGATCATGCCGTTGCACTCCAGCCCGGGCAATAGAGACTCTGTCTCAAGGAAAAAAAAAAAAAATTGTTAGATTATGGACACAGAAATCAATATATCACGATGTAATTATCCATACCCAATGAAACCACCACGCACCTGGGCCAAAGTCCCCCTCTTTCTTCCTTCCTGTGTGTTTCCTCCCTCATTCTGTACATCTCTCATTCTCCTCTCTCTGGCTTTTTTTCTTGTCTGTGTTTCAGCCTGGGTCGCTGCTCCTCATTTTGAGCCCTTCTCCTCTCCTGATGTTTCTCCTTCCCTCTATTCCTTCTCTTCCACCTGTTCTGCTCCATTCTTGCAACTTGTTTCACTTCTTATTCCTCTTTCACACCAATCTTTTGGTTGTCCCCAATCTCCATATATTTTTGCGTCTTTCTTCCCTTATCTCTGCTCTGTTAAATCCCCTCTTCCCTGTCTCACCTCCTTGTCCCCACTCTCTGGCACCCCCAGATCCCAGGTCTCCCCCTGCTGTGGTTCTCCCTCTGCTCTCCTTGTCACCAGCTGCCCCCTCTTTCTGTCCCAGCACCACGCTGCTGTCTGTCCTGGCTCCAAATCCCCCCTTCTCTCCCCCACTCTCTGTCAGAGGAGCTGCCCCTCTCCCTACCTTGCCGTCCTTCATCTCTCTAGACATCGGGCTTTTCTCTACATTTCTCCAGTTGTTTCTCCATGCTGTTACTTTCTCAGCGACTTCTTTCACCCTTACTGTCTCTTTGCAAATCCCGACCCATCCTCTACTTTGCCATGTTTATTGGTTTCCCTCATTCTTTCCTCTGTCTCCGTTTCTCTGCTTTTCTCTCAGCCCCTTTCTCTATCTCCGGATCCCCTTGGCCCACACATTCACAGGGAGGGTGTGGAGTAAGACGCCTGCATCCTGGAGGAGCACATTTTCCAGCAGGTGGAGCTGGGCAGGCAAGAACACCGGGTGTCACAGGACAAGCCCCGGGCACCTCCCCAGCGCGGGCTCAGGGGAAGCGGTGACTGCGAAGGGCAGGCCTGGGGAGCAGCAGGGCCCGGCACGAGGAGGAGGGAGGTGGGGGACGACGGCGCCTTAGGAGAGGGGTACGGTCTGCAGGATCCCAGAACCAGGCAGAGGACGCGGCCTCCCCGGGACTGGGGCTGCGGCGCTGAGCTCCAGTAGCCGACTAGGGCGAGGGTAGGGGACGGCAAAATCCTGCACCCACTTCGCGGATGAGGACTTCACAGTGCGCAGGGGTAGAGGTCAGCAAAGGGTTTTAAGCAGGGAACGGCGCAGGAAAGGAGGCGTCTGCATGGTCTGAAAGCCGAAATACCGCAGGCAGGACCAGCCTGTGTGATTTTAACCCAAAGCGATGCGACCCCCAGAGTCTCGCGACAACGTCTGAATTTACTCGGAATGGAGGGAGCCGTGCGGGGACTTCAAGGGCTATAGGAACCCCTGGACATCGTGTACGGAAATGCAGGGGACTCCGAAACGCAGGTTTAATCTAGATAGAGGGAAACTCACGCGGCGAGGAATAGCCTTCACTCCAAGGGATCTGCTTCCGGGTTTGCAAGAAACTGCCCGTGCAGTAAACGGAGCCGGCGGCTGGGGGCGGGGCCTCGGCGGACTGGGGCAAAGGGGCGGGTTGCGGGGGGGAAAGGCCAGGCGTCGGGAGTGACTGAGAGCATAGGGTGGGCGGGGCAGGGGCGGGGCCTGAACCCGGGAGGCGGAGGTTGCAATGAGCCGAGATCGCACCATTGCACTCCAGCCTGGGTGACAGAGTGAGACTTCGTCTCAACAAAACAAACAAACAAAAACAAACAAAACCACTTAGCCTATCTAAAAGTGTAACCAATGGCAGTAATATAAGC